TTTCAAAATTTGTTATTAAAATTCTTTCCATTGCCAAAAAGAAAATAAAATAAAAAAAGTTCCTAGAAAATCATTTTTTAATCAAAGTTTAGTGTGCGTTTGACTTTATTTTACATGAAAATTGTCCATTAAAATGATTTTTTTTAATAATTGATAATGAAATTTGTTTCCATTTCCAGAAAAAAAGAGGTGGAATCAGATTTCCTACCAAATAAGTGGGAAAAACAATTCCCTTCATGCCAAGAAAATAGGCGCATGAATTGACGAAGTGGAAAATCAAAAGCCAAGATTGATACCATCAAACAATATTTCTATCACTTCCCACTCTATTGTAGTATAATAATCTTCAATATTTTCTATCACATAAGACTTCGTTCATAAGTATTTCTATCGAAGATTGTCCCTCATCATTGTATATGAAAATTCGATTTCATTAACGTGCAAATCTCAAGGTTCTGAGTATGCCTTCTGACATATTGATTTCATCATCTTTACATAGCGATTATACGATAACACATTATGATGAAATTGAAGCTTTCTATTCTATATTGTTGGCTCTGGATCTCCACGTCATCGTATTGCTTTCTTGTAACTTCAAACCATCGGGATGGATGGAGATAAGATGGGTTCACTAGGTGAAATCATCCTAAGAAGAGGCCCCAGTGAATACTATGGCAAAGGAACTACCACCAGAGGTTCCGGATCTGGAAGGGACACGAGAGGGAGCGCCACATGAACCACCAGTGTGCACTTTAGACCAAATCAAATGCCATGATACAAAATTTTGGTAATCTCCACCATGGCTACAATGGTGACCATGCCGAACTATAAAACGAATTATAGCTACGAAAGCAAAAAATAAGTGAGGTAATTTATCGTATGAGTGTTGACGTGTGCTTGTCTCTTACTTCATTTTTTTTCTTGTAAATCTGTTTCAAGTGTCAATATTTTTTATTGAGCTTAATCTCTCCAACGTTGAACATGCATTGAATTCCGGCTTGTGATTGTTGATTTCGTTCCAAATTTAGATTAGGGGGTTATGATGGATGTCTTTCTTTGGTAAGCTAACTTCTCAAATCACTCTCTAGTTCAAATCTGTTCGGAATATGATCTCAAATTTCATATGCTGAATTAGGGAGATTATTGGACGAGTACAAGAGAATGTGGCCCATTGGGCCTTTCAATAATTTCCTTATGGACTTCTAGAAATTTTATTGGGCCAGATTTTTTATATGATATAGGCTTGAGAAGAGTTCAAAAGTCAGGGGTTAAAAAGACACAATTCAATTTTCAGGCATCAAGTTTCAAATTGCAAAACTCAGGTTTTTATTTATTAATTAAAAATATTTTTATTAATTAATTATTAAATAAATTTATTAAATATTTAATTCTAATATAATATAATTAACCCACTCCACCTCCACCATCCCTACCGTTCCGGGGACTATTTCGGCCACTGTTCCGGCCGCCACTCTTCTCCGGCGATCATTTCAATAACCGTTTCGCCAACTGTTCCGATTCCGACAATTATTCCGGCAACCGTTCCGGCCACCATATATTATTTTGCGGCTACAATTCAAAAATTTTGTAGTCACAATTAATTCTTTGGTCACAGACTTCAAAATTAGTTGGTCACATATTAAAATTTATAGGTCGCATAGTCACATATTTCCAAATAAGTTGGTCACAGATTTTTTCACTGTCACAAATTAAAAAATTTATAGGTCATAGTTTATTTCGTTGGTCACATATCAAAAAATTTATAGGTCACATTTTATCCCTCGCCACCGTCACAACACCACCGCTACCAATTGATATTGACATTGCCAACAAAAATCGTCACCAGCAGAGCTCCGGCCACCAACAATCACCACCCGTCGTCGCCACCAGATCCATTGCCAATCCCATAAGCGTCGGTGCCACCACAACAGCACCGCCACCAACAAAGCCGTTACCACCAGATCTAGCAAAAAAAATCCCAAAGTCATCGCCACTAAAACCAACAAAAAAAAAAATCCCAAACCCGCAACCAGATCCACCATTATCCCTGTCCCCTCAACAACACAGATATCACTCGCAACCTGCACGATTATCAATGCACCACCACCACTGAACAACCACATCTCACCACGACAACCACCACTAAAACACAACCATTTACTAACTAAAAACAACACAATCACTAAATGCCGCTGTCGAACTCATCTCGGGTTGGTTTGATTTAGGCATTCGATTCCAATTTTTGACTAGCAATCTGACGCGGTGCGGTCCTACTGCGGTTGGTTTCCGACGGTGAATAAGGCTATTTTTTGCAGCGGCGGGTGCACCAGCGGAAAGCGCGGCGAGTTCGCAGCAGCCTCGTCGAGTTCGCACCATCGAGTTCGCAGCAGCCTCCACACAGTGCCGCTACTACAGCGGCTTCATCACTCATTACACGATGGCGCCTTCCGATGGTGCCTTCTCTTCTTTCGTCGAGATTGTTAAATAAGGGAGAGAGGAGGAAGGGTTTAGAGAGAGAACGGAAATGAAATAATTATTAGGGTTTTAATATTAATATATTTTTTAAAATATAAAATTATTACCTAATTTTTGAATAAGTAAAATTTATACCTGATTTTTGAATTGTGATGTAAAAATACCTGGAATCATGTAATTTCCTCTATAGGCTTACTGACTTTGTTGAATGGGAAAAATTCATGGATAAGCTTTTATCTTTGCCAAAATCAAAAATCAGGTGCTAAGTTTCAAAAATCAAGTTTTTATTAATTAATTAAATATTTAGTTGTAACATAATATAATCAACCCCACCCACCCCACCCCACCCCATCCCACCTCCACCTCCACCATCCCCACCCTTACTGCTCTGTCGACAGTTCCGGTGGCCACTCAACTCCGACGACTATTACGGTGAGTACTCCGGTGATCGTTTCGCCGTCGCTTAGTTCTGGCGACTGCTCCGATTTTGACAATTATTAAGGTCAAACTTATATACAATTTGGTCACATATATCTAATTAATTATATAAAAAATAATTTTCAGTCACAACTTATCAAATTATTGGTTATAGATTATTTCGAGATCACAAATCAAAAAATATTCGGTCACAGTTGACTCATTGGTCACTGACAAAAAAAATTATAGGTCACAAATGTTTAATTGGTCACAAG